TATCAAAAGATCTTGATCAATACCAGTGTCAGTTGATTACCTAACTGCTGCTTATAAAATGTGAATCTGACTTGCTGCTGCTTTTTAAAATATTACATATGTGTGCTACAAAATAGGATCAGAGATACTATACTCCTCAAACAGGGGTTAAAATCCAGTGTCAGACTACATGAGCTACAATTGGATTGTTGTACTACATTGGTTTAGTCAAACAAAGTGTGATTTAAGTGTCTCGCTGTCGATTCTGAGTCGTTTTCTATAGAACATATACTGAATACATACTTCAATATATATTTCTTTTCCCAGTGTTGCTATAATGTCAGAGAAGGTGTTATGGAAACATGAGGCTCTATTGGGTAAGTGAATTGAAAGCACAATCTGAGAATTTCAATAACCTGGTTCCTTTTTGATTGATCAATCTATAAATCTTCTTGACATACCTCGGGCAGATTCACAAGAAAACAAAATCTATTCTGGTCTTTAGTAGATTTAGTGAACATTCCAGATGTTTCTTTTTCGCATGTAATAAGGCATAGATGTTCATAAAGCTTAGCAGCATAGTGATGCAAAGCTGTTTTGTGAGCCTAAATGTAGCAAATGAATGGCACTTGTCAGCAGACAGAGAGAGAGAGCCTAAACATAGGCACACTTCAGGGCATAAGAGTAAGATACTATATACTGTAGTAAGTCAGCAGAAACAATGGGACAGAAAGGTTTGCCTGTGGCACAGAAAAGTTTGGGGAAAACAAATCAATTTACTTTTTACAAAATGTCAAATTAACTCAATGGTTATGATAATCTACATGTGAGCGTCACCTAAGGTAGAGAATTTGCTATGAATAAAACAGTTTCTCACTCTTATGTTTAAAGTGAATTTATTCTGTACTCTTACCATCTGACTGGGGATGTATCTTGTCATTTTGTTGAATGTATGTAATTTATAATGTATGAAATTAAGTAAGAGATCAATTTTACCAAGTAAAGGAGATGCTACCTTGATCATAATCAAGGGATTACTACTGTAAATTGTAATGGAAATATCTACAGAAGGCAGGGAAAAGCAACACTTAACATTGGAAGTTTATGATCAGGAAATCAAACTGATCACCTGCCAGAGCACTTTGCAGTGCTAAATGTAATGGACATCTAGTGAAAATTATTGTAAAGAGGGGAAGATTAACTTCCCAGGCATTGTGATCTTCCCAGGCAAACAAACTACTAGATTGCTTCTGTCCGACCAAAGTCTGGATCAAAAACTGTGATCTGAATGGCAACTACTTCTAAAAAGCCATAGCAAGAACTTAAGAAAATGCAATGCAGCACCTTACAATATGAGTCTATTAATGTTGATGTGCTTCAGTTCATTTGACCTCCTCAGAACACCAGCTACACCTGAGACGAAAGGTCCCTTGAAGTACAATTTTCAAAATCAATTACAGTAGGTTGTTATGACCACTTAATCAAATTGCCAAGCTAACTTTCCAGCCTTAAATTAAGTTGTTCTACGAAACAGCATAACTGGTCCTTTTATATCAGGTTTCCACAGTGTTGCTCTTTGACTACACTTCCACTAGAAGAGGAAAGACAAGAATTACAACCCCACTATGGCTTTTCAAAAATTAAAAAAGCATATGTATAATTATCTATTGCCAGAGTTCACTAAACAATATAGTAGCATGGGAAATCTGAATGCAAAGGGTCCAGTCAAGCAGGTATTCTTACTTCATACTGCCAAAGCTCAGCAACCTCGCTCAGCCTACTGTATAAATGCATGCACATGCTCCCTTTCACAGCAGGCTGCCTTGCATTGTCCTAGACATACTGTAGGAATAAAGACATCTTCATATGAAGAGCTGGCGTTACTTGAAGCACCAATGATAAAATGAGCCTGCAGCATAAATGTAATGGTTTCCTGGTGAATTGTGATACAATGTTGTTGTGTTGAATTGAAAGTGGTACTGCTTTGAAGGTTAATTATTGGTAGAAAAAAAGCAATTTCATGCCTAAAGAAAGACACATTTCTTTATATTTCTTATTTATATATAATGCATATTTATATACTGATTCCTTCTTTTGTATCAGCAAAAAAGTAGGTTACTTGGCCCTGCCCAATTTCCTTTTTACTTGGAGATCATTAGCTTTACTGCTTGTGAAACATTTCAAGTACTTTTAGCAGAAGAAGACTTTCAGTTTTGTAGGCAGAGGTTTTCTGTAAAGCACATTTGCTTTATTGCTGTTGTTGATATTACAGGAGTCTGTCTGCATTTGCATCTCTAAGCGGTATTCAAGCTGCAATTCTCTTCCCCTCAGAAGACCGAGAAAAGATGGAGATCCTCCAGCAGAGGTCACTGCTAAGTCGAGCAAGCCGTGGAAAGATTTGTGAGGAAGTGAGAACTGGAGTGGGGTTCTGTCAACGGCCTTCCACAGATAAGATCAACACCGTCTCAACCGTTAAATAAAGGACAGCTCAGCCTGCTCACTGGCACTGCTCACTTCCTGATGCCTGTGACAGTGAGCAGGGAGTGGTCTTCAAACTTCCTCTGCAGAAGAGCCCTGGATTCTATTTGACAGCTTGAAAAATAAGACTAGTTGCTTTCTTGTACATATTTCTGAGTGAAAAATCCACCTCCATCATTGGCAGAGATCTATGTTTTCAAGAAAAGAGGAGTCTGTGTTTATTGAATGGAGTTAAAGTATGATTGCACATGGGGGGATAGTCCTGCTCAACAAAAAGCAGCACACAGTTAAGACGCTGGCAACGAGACTAAGTGCCACACCCTCTGCAATTCTGGATGGGATGGGAACTGCGTCTTGTACTCCCATGTGTTCACGTTCAATCAAATGTTTAAAGCTTTATCAAAACGTGAGGCTTGACTGTATAAACACTCATACCCACAGCACCCTAGAAATCCTAGCCTGAAAAGTGACAAGTACAGCTGAGTGTCATTAACAGCCACAAGCAGAGACCTCAACTGAAGCTCTTCTGGCATTAGCACAACCTTAAAGTAGTAGATGAGAATAGATGAGAATAATAGATGAGTAGTAGATGAGAATATCGGTATTGTTCTTTAAAAAGTAAAGAATGTCAGAAATTTGCAACGGTGTGCAGAGAGAGTGTACGCTGGAGTCTGGGTCATGGAAAGGGATAATTAGTGGCTGACTAATTTGGTTCCCACTGCAGTGCACATACAAAAAAAACCCCATACAATTTGGCAGCTATTGAAACAATGGTGAGAGACGGAGGGATTGGTCCTTGTTGTTTCTGTGGGTGGGTAACAGTTTGCCTCCTGTCTCTTGGGTTCTTATAAAATACTGTTCATTCCACATGTGCCTCCTTCTTCAAAGAATTCCAACATTAGTCCTGAAAACAATCCTGCCAGTATGCTTCAGCAATCCTTTTTTTCATCCTGTGAATGGAATCCTGAAGGACCTTATATGTGTGATTTCTGAATCACTCTTGTAGGATATTTGTAGGAGTAACCCCCTCGTACCGAGATCCTTCAGGAAGTTTTTGTAATTCCCCTACAAATGGTCTTATTTGTTACCTTTGTATTATTACTAATAATTTGAAGTATCTTCTGTAATATCATGAGAAGTATTACACTATTGACGTATGTAACTAAAAAAGGTACTATTATATTCAGGAACTTCAGTTATTTCTAATATATTATAATTAACATTATGGTATTCTGTTCTCATAAGTGTGGCTATCTGAGCAGTATTGTCTTCGTACTAATATTCCTGTCCATCATTTTGTAAACTGTATGTCTGGTGTAAAACTTTCAAAAGTATGATGCATTACTTCTACACCTATAGCTTTATACAATACTGAGTTTTTTTTTTTCACACTTTGGAGTGATGACACGTCTTGTCACTTTTGGATTATCGTCTTCTCTTCAGTGCAGTAGGTTTTGTGCCCTTGAGGTCACTGTTGGTCTAACATCTCAGGCAGCTGCTAGCAAAAAACTACAAGTGACGTCAGACAGCACCCTCTCCTGCAGCATAAATGCAAGCTGTCAGCGTTGAAAGTTTGTGAACTAGAATAACTTTCAAGTATGAACTATACATTTGCTTAAACTGTTGCATTAGAAAGTGGTTGGTGTGTGTTATTATGCATTTTTCTCCAGCTTACTTAATTCTGAGTTTTATACATTATTGTTCCCCAATACCCTGTAGAATACCCCATTCTTACAACTACAATTTTGTAAGGTGGAGATCATCAGAAGACTACACATCGGGTCAGGTGCAGAAGTGAGAAATGACTTTACAAAGTGAATTTTGGAGAATCTTTAGAAAGGGGAGTAAAACCGTGCAAGCCCAGTGAGGAATTACAATGAGGTTAATACACCAAAACTTTTGAAAAGTGTCTTTAAAGGCCAGTTAGTCAGATCCTCAGCTTAACATCTCATCTGCAGGTCAGCACAGTGTGGCTGTTCACTATGCTGAGAAACAGTCCAAGTATATTCCAACCCTGAGGGAAGAGCACCAGTTACTGGTCCACCAGTAACACTTACATTAGCAGTAACAGCCTGGTCTGCCCTCACAATACTGACTAGGCCCTGCCTTGTTAAGCTTCTGAAATCTGATGAGATCAAGCACTAGCTTTCTTTAAAATGACAGATTTTGTCATTTAGGAGGGTGACACATAAATCATCTTTATTGAAGTGCCTATTAATTTCTAGAAGTATACAAGTATAAACTGAATGTATAAACATAAAGAAGGCAGCATACAGGACTGGAATTGCACATTAGATGAAAATAAGTTAACACAGGGTTAACACAGAAACTAATACAGGAAATGAAGAGGCAGCTCCCCCATTTACGAATCCAAAAGGGCAAAAGGAAATCCTATATAATATCTTCTCTGCCTTTTTTTAAAGAAAACAAAAACAGAACTGGCCAGACGATATATTTTAAAAAGCCTACAAAAGGCTATTCTTCTGCCACCAGCCCTAAAGGCAACAGGAAATCCTATACAAGCAAGCCCCATATGAGCTGAAAATGAGGCTTTCCCTTTATGTCCTGCAAGCACACATCCTGAAAATGACCTTATTCTGGCAGTGGCATCAGCAGACAAAAACGAGTTTGGAGTAGAAGTTGACGTGGTGCTTTTTTCGCTAGTGAGAAACTCAGGAAGCAACTGCGGAGATGAGAATTAGTAGAAATCTCGTTGAAGGCTGTGAAAAGATGGGTTTGCCATTTGTCAGAAAGGGTAAAGACAATCGAAGAGGTCCTGCTGGAAGACTTTTACACCTTTTGAGAACTGTGCAGCCCAATCTGAGGTCATTTCAACAAACTGCTATTTTTAAAAAGGGGACAGGTTTGTGTGCTGTGTATTTCTTTCTATCTGATTGTCAGCTGTCGTATAATTGTAAATAATATGTTTATTTATTTTATTTGTAATTAAATGTTTGTATATTTTGTAACTGCATTTGTGGATGCGATCACAAACAGATACTTTCGCCAACAATAGCATCGGCACCCTTCATCTCTTCATCACTTTTTGTATTTGTAGTTTTTGTATTTAGCTGTTCTTTATCACTGATATTATTTCAATGATTATTGAACACAATGAAATTCAAAACACTTCTCATTCTAGGTAGGAGGTTGCTTATGCATCAAATGACTTTAGGGAAGTCTGGAAAATATATTTTCATAGGTATCTTAGCAATAGATGTTTGGCGTTCAAAGGAATTATGCCTGATTAAAGATAAATAAGGGACAAAATATAAATTAAGAAATTAAATCAATGCTCTAATATTACATACATTCTAATTAAACATTATTGTTACTGATGCATGGTATTTTCATACCTATTAGTGTTTGTTTTCCTTGCACTTAGGGGACTGTAATTACTGTTTAGTTTGAAATAATAAAAAACAAAATAGTGGAGAAAAGCTCCTTCAGTAGATGTTAATTAATTTAAATCTTTGTTCTTTACAAAATCATTTTTAGACAAGATGAGTAGTTTATGGAAGACTTTACACTAAAGGAACCCATTGCACACATCATGAGAACTGTAGTTGAAATAAGTTGAAAACAGTTACAGTTGTGCTTGAAGACTAATATACATTCTCACTGAAATGATTTGTTTTATTGTGGTGATAAAAAAGAATACCACTAGGTTAAGGATTGGAAATCATCTCTAGATATTGTAAACTTTGATTGACCCCTGAGTCTGCTTTTTACCTTAATCCTTTTGTCACATTTGCATAATTTTGCATTCTTGTTTGAATGATTTATAAATATGCAAATACATCTGTCTTGAGAGCCACATTTTCAGCAGCGTTGGTCCTGAAACGCCCCAGTTTTCCAGCAGGCATCGTTTTTCATCATGGGATGAGACCGATGTCTGACAACCGGCTGCTGCCCATTGATATGGTTCTTGTGTCAGACACCTTTTGCACATGTGTGAATCATTTTACATTTTGTTCCAGGATAGCAAAAGTTTCCCAATGTAATAAAGGGCATGGAATCAAGTGTTTAATGTTTTGTTATTGGTTATTCTTCTATCGCAGGACACACACGTACACCAACATGCACACATTCACACCAGGGCCAATTTTTCCAGAAGCCAATTAACCTACCAGCATATCTTTTTCACCTGAAAACAAATGTCTAATGTTTCCTGAACTGAGGAACACAGACAAGTTATCGTTGCAGCCTTGAAACATTGTATTTAATGAGTCCTGCTTTTGGAGGATTGATTTAACATGAGTTTTGTCAATGCTCAAAGCAGTCATAATTAGTAGTAAGACTAGAAAAAAAAACCTTTTCCAAACTCTGGTCTACATTTTCAGTATGTTTCATATTGTCTTATGTTCTGGTTTCAGAAGTTGCTGTGGAGGGGAAAAGGCCTTTAACTGGTGAGTTAGCCTTCTCTGTGACTTACTCCTCCAAATATTCCTATTCAGCTATGTCCTGCTTTCTCTAGCATGATAAATCTATTGCCCCACTGTCATTTCTGCTCACTGTGCCTGCTGACTGAATTATCCTTACAAGCTGGAGAAATATCATCTGACAGGGTGAGTTGCCACGGGCAACACCTTTGCAGTTCCCAGAAGGTGACTTCAGATACTGTATGTAGGCACCAGTTTGTAGTGATCAAAAGACACATGGATACAAGGAAGAGCCAAAGTAAATACTGTGTTATTAAATCCCTAAGGCCACACATTTTTATATACATGACACAAAATATGCGTACATACAAATGCAGTATGAAAGGAAAATGTGCTTAAAATTACAAGGTACATAATAGTGTATCAACATAACATAACATAGTATACACAGGTACATAACATAACAGTGTATCAAACCTGATGATACAGTGCCGTCTATGAAATCATAGACTGTGTTTATTAAAAAAGGTTCCTGGCATGTAACAACACTACCCCTCAGCCTATTATGACATTACATGACTCATGTTAACCAAGTCACATGACTTTTTGCAGCCTGATACTAGACTGATGCTACTACTATTTCCACTCAGATTCTCTCATTCCCTACTGATCACGTTAGTCCCTTTCCAGGAAAGAAGAGGAAATCGGTCTCTTGATCTTCCTTTATTACTTCTTTCTCTGAGCCCCTTTTCTTTAGGGCATTCTCTCCCTGGCCAACAGGACCTTCTACCCTCTTAGCTCATTGCACTCTCTTGATCTTTTACAGTTCAGGACTACCTTTGGAGTTAGGGAAAGGTACTGTAGCGTAGAGTAGAGGAGTTCATTGCCATATGCACATGTACACTGGAATTTATTTTCGCGCCAATCTCTCAGGACAATCACAGTACAACAGATGATACAATACTACACACAACACCACTCAATGTAGGCAGTACATTACAAAATGGTACACAATCCTTGTTCTGTAGAGCCCAGGTATTTTTCCAAGACCAGTTTGTATTATTGTATTTGTTATGGCACAGGGTTTCTCTTCCTCGATGCCTGAATTCTAGCTCTTTTCTAAGTATGAACAGGTACGACACTACACCTCCAGGCAGTGCCACACTCCACCAAGTGCTTGCTCCAGCTTTGAGCCTAACAAACAGGCTACCATGCAACAAGCCTGCCCAGTATGGTGGCCCTCAGTACAGCATCTTTCATTGCATCTTCCACACATTTCATTGGGTCCACAGTCATGTTACCCAGCCCAGTCCAATTGTGGAAAAAAAACTCCTATCTACGGAGCCTTAATTCTTTCTCCCCATTTCTCCATGTTAAACATTTCTACCCCTGACATAACAGCCAGCCAGCTTGTTCTTCCTTCTGCACTTGAGTTCTTAGGCTGCTCTTTTACACTCCTGCTGATAGTCATCAGAGGCATGATTAATTCAACAGGAACCTTCTTTCCCCTCACATGGAATTCCACTCACAGTGATTGGCCAACCATCATTTAGCCCTAGTGTCTCTAGTGTCTCCTGTTTCCAAATACTCATCAGCCATCTTGGCTCAAGACCACACCTAGGCCAAAGTTTGAGCCAAGATGGGAGGAACTAAGCCTTTTCCAGACGCACAGGCCACATAGCAGGACTATACCTCAGGGTGCTAGTCCATTGCAATACATTAATGTAGCCATTAGTCCAGCCAGCAGATCTTTGGATCTTTAAAGATAATTAGAGAATTGAAGTGTGATGAAAACTATATTCGTTTCATTTCATAAGTGGTTTGCAACTAGTTATATACTGTATGTATTGTCAGTTGTCTCTTGTTTGCACAACCTATGGTATTGCAGATAGATGTATTAACACCCAGTACCTTAAATGTACTTCATGAGAATGTAAGGTAATTTACTAGGTACATATTAACAAACATCTTTTATCATTGGAACAAGTAATAGGTTTATTCCATGCTGAAAAGAGAAGAAAAGAAACACAATGTTTCGGCTGTGGAGCCTTCATCGTGTGCCGAAACGTTGTGTTTTCTTTCTTCTCTTTTCAGCATGGAATAAACCTATTACTTCTTCCTTTGCAGCCTACGCATGCTGACACAGCTACCCACCTGAACCTTTATCATTATTTTATAGATTTATTTGGAATTATCAGGTTCACTAAGATAAATGCAGTAGATGGGTACTAGCATTCCATTAAAGATGAAGTAATAAAAAACAGTAGATTCACATGTGATGACTTTAACTTTAATGGAATACATATGAGTCTAAAATTTTGTTTGTTTTTTTCTGTAAATTGTCATGGTATAATTCATTGTCTTAAGACACAATGAATTGTGGATGTTTTAATTAGCACTCGGGTTTTTTAATCTCCAATACCTTTCAAGCAAATCACAGCATTCAAAGACTTTAAATTTTCAACTAAAGAACATTTGCAAAGTGAGGAGACCTGAAGCTTTTTTGTCTTGCAGATTCTTAATAATGAAAGGAAATGTATGAATTAATTATTTTTTTCTCCTTAATTTTATGCTTTACATAAGTGCTTTACTACTTGCTATTGCGAAGACAAATGGGATTTATTTTTTGTTGCTGAAACACTGCCTTAATCACAATAAAATTAAAAACAATGTGAACAGCTCTGTCTTTTGTATTGCAGTTTTAGCAAAAAGGTCACACTCTTTCCTTACCAAATATAGTGTTTTAAAATTGGTGTCTCTAAAATCTTTGGTCTTGCCTGCAACTGCACAGTATAACAGAGTGTTGTGAAAGTAAAAAAGCAGCAAGACCTTTGATATCGCAGAGGAATTGGTTTTTATGTTGATTCATATCAGTCCTGTGGGTGTTTCCAGTAATTTGCCGTTTTAGAAAAACACTTAGTTAAAAGTTGGATACTTATTTTAAAGATATTTTTTCAAGAGCTTGCTAGAACTCTATTTAGTGTGTATAACTCATAATGCTTATAATGTGCATGTGTAGATTACAAACCTTTTAATTTAAAATATTCTTTTAAGTAAAACGTTAAATATATTATGCTCTTTTCTTTCATTATAGTGCAGAATAGTAATTTGGATCTTCTTCGTAATTTGAATTCCTTCAGGTATGCAGGATTGTACAGTAAATATGTTCAAGAATGAATGTTCATCTGCCTATCCATAAGTTTCCATATGTATTTAAGAAAAAGGAAAGGTTACAAACAAAAGGAAGCCAATTTAATTTTATTTAAAGCTAGTAGTTAATTGATCAGAATATCTTATCCAGACATTTTATGAATAAGCCTGTGTATCATATTTAACAATATGGCTGACTAGACTGTTCCACACTCCTACACCCCTTGCTGTAAACAATTGCCTTCTTTTCTCATTTTTAAATGCTTCACCATAGTTTCCACATGTGTTTTCATGTTTCAGTGTTGATTCCAAAGAGGTGTGTTGGTATTTATATAGATATTTGATCTATTTGTTTGGCTGTTTATGAGCAAGCATTTTTTAAAACAGTCATTTTAATAAGGACAGTGTAATGACAGTTTCTTCAACATCATCTTCTCGTTTGCATTGACAGAAACTTGGGTAAAATGCTGCTTACTTTGAAAAAGTGAATTTTGTGTCATCACTACAATTATAAAAGTATACATTTATAGTAGCTTTTACAGTATCTCTGTTGTGAGTGGTTTTAGAGCATCTCAATGTGACTTTATTTAGATGATTTTTGCAAAATATATTTGGAAATAAGGCAATACTAAGTGAGGTGCATGATGGTACATTTTCAGCACTCTTTGCAAAAGGATTTCTTATCCCTCTGAGGATTTTTCTTCATAAAAATATTTTTTTTCAGAGCCCGCAAGAACATCTGCATTTTATGGAAGCTTACAAAGGGAGGATTGGCTACACATCTGCTGGTTTTTCTTGTTCCATCTATGACACTATCTATACATGTACAGTGGGATTTAAGATGGCATTTGCAAAGAAGAGGCAGGTTATAACGAAATTGATTAACTGCTGAGTCATTTTACATAATGAACAACACTATCAGGGGAAAACAATTTAGCTCTCTTTCCAATAATTGGAGCACAATAACAGATTTAAGAACAAGTACGATCCCGAGCCAACGCTATCTTAGTGTCTGGGACAAACACAGGGGTTCTTAAGCATGAGGTGATGGGCTCAAACTCTCTGCAGGGTCAGAGCTATTGCCTGACCATCCCTGGATCCTCACTGTGGAAGTCACAGCATCCTATCCCTGATTTCCACAAATTTATCAGCTCTTGACTTTCACTTTTTGTCACTGTTGACCATGAAAATATTCACAAAGTGTAATAGTGCTTCCCCTCATATTAACATATTAAGAACAGTTTGATATGAATTGTCACTGAGAGGTGTGGGGGGATACAATTTACAGAAATCATTTTCAAAACTTAAATTCTATTTAAGTTTCTACAATAAAATAGAAACAGGTTTTCTAAAATAAAGTAAATTGTCTTCTACAATAAATAATAATAGATACAGTTAATAGAACACTAAAAGATGAGTTAAACAGATTTTCTTACTGATCCTTGTTAATAAAGGGAGCAGAAGAACCACACTATGTTGTCTCTTATTAACCATTTATATTACACCAAAAGGATGTGCAATGCCTTCTTTTTCTGAGAACACATAATGATCTAAACATTTTACTGCATAGAACATTTTAAGACGTTTGCTTTGGTGGAAAAAATACAGGTTTGTTTCTTAAACAGCAGCAACAACTTATGGGAAAGTATCATACTATACTTCTTTTCAGAGACCAGAAAATGTCTCTTTTAAGGTCGTAAATTAAGTAGTTATCTTGGGGGTTTGTACATCAATAAAATAGAAGTCATAAGTGAGTAAAAGGACCCATAATGAGAGTACTGGATGGAGTTGTATTGCTCAGACTAAGGCAATTATAAAGACATTACATTCAGGCAGCAAATGAGGAATAGTGGTATAGTCATCATATAAGTCTTTTA